ATGTGCTGCTGAATTCTATTTGCTAAAATTTTGTTGAGGATTTTTGCATCTATATTCATGAGGGATATTGGTCTGTAGTTTTCTTTTTTTGTTGTCTCCTTTCCTGGCTTTGGTATCAAGGTGATATTGGCTTCGTAGAATGAGTTGGAAGGATGCCATCTTTCTCAATATTGTGGAATAATTTCTGTAGTATTGGTGTGAGTTCTTCTTTGAATGTTTGGTAAAACTCTGGAGTGTAGCCATCTGGTCCGGGGCTTTTACGTTTACGTTTTAGGAGGTTTTTGATTGCTGCTCCAATTTCTGAGCTTGAGATTGGTCTACTCAGATATTCTGTTACCTCTTGGGTGAACTTAGGGAGGTTGTATGTTTCCAGGAATTTGTCCATTTCCTCCAAATTATATAGTTTTTGGGCATATAGGTTTTTGTAGTAATCAAAAATAATGTTTTGTATTTCTGTGGCATCTGTTGTGACTTCTCCTTTTTCATTTTTGATTGAGTTTATTAGAGACCTTTCCCTTTGGATTCTAGTCAATGATTTTGGACAATTTTAATGGGGCAGGTTAACTGGATCATGTTCAGTTAATACATTCTATATATCCATAAGGGTCATTCTATATCAATATAACTTAATGCAGCTACTACAAAACTTCAAAAAAATCTTTTTTAATAGAAGGAACGTTTCATCAAAAAAAAAAAGAACAAGTTTTGCTGTCACAGTAAATTCGGCAGAGACATTTAATGGTGCTATCTGTTGCCTGTCTGTGTACGTAAAATTATCTACTTAAAACTGAAAAGATTTGGTTTTAAATAAAGTGAATTTTAGCCACTTCAAATCTCAGTAGATTCTATTCAGTACTTCATCAATCCAAGGTATTGGACTACTGTAGTATAGTTGATAAACGAAAAGATCTAATCCATTTCAAAATATCCTTGCTCCGCATTGTTTTTCCTCTAAAAAAGTTGTCTGGATTTTATTACGAGTAAAAATTTCACTTCTTCTAATGAATTCATAAACTTCCTATGGAAGAACTCAAGTATACTACATACAGAGGAAAAGACTGAGGATTTACGAATAATCAGCTAACGTCCTGTCTGCCCAAGGAATGCTACAGGAGTGCTGCTAGCACTTCTTTTGAATGTCCTCACTATTCACAGTGTTTAGCATAACTCATTTATCTTCTAGGGTAATGGTTTTGACCTCACAAATCTAGACTCATAGCAGCACTGTAAGATGAAACACATGACAATGATTTGGAGGAAGGAAGTTTTCAGTCAACGAAGGTAGGAATGATGGGAAACCTCGCAACAGTATAACAAGAAGAGTTTATATCAAGATGTTAAATTCAGAGTCCTGCATTACATAATGTTCTGAAATCCTTATGGTTCAGCTGCTCATACCAGGGAGGAACAACAAATTCATCCATAAAATGCTGCTATTCTTGTCAGAAAGTAGACGTCTGAAGCATGCTTTCTACAATAACATCTATAAAAACAGTCATAGTTCCCTGTTGATTACTTAACATATCCTGGCAGAAAAATGACATTACCAGGTTGAAGAAATGACATACACAAGACAATGAAGAGTACTAAAATTGCTCAATTCTACATTTGAAAGCACTTGGATGTTAATTAACAGAAAAGCATTATGGAACCAAAAAAACTTGATGAACCACATAACAGTGAATGATGACAGTACAGGAAAACAAATACTTTTTTGCTTTATTCTCAACAGGTTTTTTCTTCTAAGAAAATTCCCCAAGTGCTGGGCTCTCAATGCTGCTCGTTATTCTTTCCCAAATATCTTACTGTGCTCTGTATAATGTCAGTGTTAAAGCTATTCCACTTCTTCAAGGACCAGCTCACACCCCGGCGTCATGCACTTTCGGGGATAGTCTTGCTTCCTGCTTTACTCAGATTGAGACATTTGATTCTGCAATTTCTTTCCTCCTCAAGAAGTCTCTATATCTTCCCCAACTGTCTCCTTTATTCTAAGACTCGTTTTTATTTATACCCTTGATTCTAGTTTCTAGATTCTAGTTTCTCTGACTTCTTTCATAATTTTGTCCTGCCAGTATCCTTCCCATCTTTGAAAGCTTCTGTCAACCAGTTCCTTCCCTTGGCTTATAAAAACAGTCAAGATCAGAGTTCTGTTGACCAATTCACAGAACCATCGTCCCATCTTCTTCCTTATAATTTCTACTCTTCAAAAGTAGATTCTATACACACTGTCTCATCCTCAACCTCTTCCTATTTGGCTTCTACTCTATGTACATAAGTAAAACTCCTGTATCTCCAATCACCAGGGACCACCCAGATCACCCAACTAATGGTCTTTCTTGTGCCTCATCCTTCCTGATCTGTAGCACTTCATCTAACCCTGTGGTTTTCTTGAGACTGCATTTAATACATTTGATACCAAACTCAACTTGTTTTCACCCAAAAGTTTTCCACATTCTGGACTTCATTTATTTAATAGTATTACCATTCTCCTAAAGCTGGTTAGAAACTTTGGTCATTGTCAACTCATCTCCTAACATTTAATAACTTGCCATTTCCTATCAAGCCTATGTCCATGAAGTGTCTTGGGTGGACCCATGTCATCTTTCTGAACCCACTGCTACCACCCTTCATGCCTGTGCTACCTCTCCCTCCCCGAGACCACTGCAATAGCCTGCCATCCAGTCTTTCAGATCTCAGTCTCCTCCTTCCATTTGTCCTGCACCAGCAGCCAGAGTCATCTTCCCACACTTAATACTGAATCAAAGTCCATACGCACCCTGGCGCTGCATACAAGGCCATGCAGTCTGGTGCCAACGTATTTTATACCCCATCAAGACCAGTCACTGAGCCTGAACCTATCCAGTGCCTTCCTATCTTTGTGTGCTCAATCTCTCACTCATGCCCCCACTCCCAATCCCACAGATATGAGAGGAATTCAAGGCCCAGCAAAAATCTCGTCTCTATGAAGCTTTCCCAAACCCCTCCAAATGAAAGAAACCTCTCCCTCCCCTGTTCTCCCTCAGCTCCCTGATCCTCCCCTCTTAAGCAATGTATCAACTGCATCTCTACACTGTTGAACACCTGGAGGGTAGGGATCCATCTTTGTATCCTCCACAGCATAAGGCGATTAATTAATGCTCTTTGAATTGCCTACTAGTATAAATCAGTCAAGTTCTACCAATACAGAATAGAATTTATGCTAAAGATTTTACCAAGAAGCTTGTTAGTATTCCTCATGTATTGTGCTATTATCAGGCCTTAATATAGACTATGCAAAATTGCATAAAATGATGGTCCATGTACAATTATCTCATAAACTAATTACTCAGTAAAATCTGAGTTCCTAAAATCATAAAAGATAATTTATTAATCATTGTATCCCTAGCTCTAGTAGTGTCTGATATTAAGTAGATTTTTTAAAAAAATGTTTGCTGAATTAAAAAGATACTAGATCCAAAAACAATGCCATAGGAAAAATCCACCTGATCTCTTCATGTGTTCAGAAAAAGTAACAGAGATGCTGTCAACACATTGACTAGCTTTAAAACCAATGATTGGGGAAGGGCAATGACAGGTTGGCAGATTAGGAAGCAAAGACCATCGCATTGACTGTAGACCCAAACCAAAAGGTAACGTGGAGATCACTGACAGATTTTTCAATCTAATTAAGAATACTTTTCAACCGATAAGACTTTAGATTAGCTTTGAATATCATTATAACTCTTACTTTGCATGTATATAGTACAAAAAATACTCATTAAATTGTTTTATAATAGATTTACTCAGAGCAGCAAGTTGAATGAAACATATAAATCTCCATACTAACATAGAAATAGATACAAATGAATCACATGTCTGGTTGAAGGTCGTGCTGTGAGAGAGGTGACTGATGTGACTAGGTTTGAATCCTATTTCATCACTGAAACTTCTGAAATTTTGTCTTGAAAAATGCCTATTAAGGTATTTGTATTAACAAATGTGCTTTTTTTTCTCCCTTTCAGATAGTCATGGACATATTAATCCCTCTCTGAGACCCATCTGGGATTTGGCTTTTCTTGGCAGCTCTTATGTGATGTGGGAAAAGACGACCCAGTTTTTACACTACTACTTGGCACAGCTCACTAGTGTGAAGCAGTGGGTAAGAAAAACTGAAAATTAACTCGCGCCACAAGGGATACAACCAGGGCAGTGTTCTTAGACTGAGTTAATCTGTATTTCTAATTTCATGGCAAGAATTTAATCACATTTCATTCATTCAACAAATATTTGAGTTCTTGCAATGGGCCAAGTATAATTTTTAGGGACTGGGGACATAGCAGTGAACAAAAAACACAATGTTGCTGTCCTCACTGAGATTAATTCTAGTGAGAGAAGAAAGAGTGAATTAATAACAAGAATGTATCAAATGATGGTAAGTGCTACAAAAAAAAATAATGCACGGAAAAGAGAATGCAGGGTACTGGTAGAATTACTACTTACATAGTCTGAGTAAGGCTAATTTGAGCAGAGGTAACATTGGGGCAGAGGCCAAAGGCAAGTGAGAGTAAGGCCTACTCTCATAAGGGAGGAGAATATCAGGCAGAGGGAACTGAGGCAGCGATGTGGCTGATGGGTGGGAGAAACAGCAGTGAGGCCAGTGTGGCTGGAACAGAGTGAGCAAGGGGAATGTGCCAGGAGACGAGATCAAGTGGAGGGCAAGTGGAGAGGATCAGTTTACCTAAGGCCTGGGAGGCCATGAGAAGGGTCTTATCTCTGTCTTACCTACTGTAGCAGAGGAGTGACATGATCTGACTTACAATAGGATCATTCTTGTGGCTACGTTGAGAACAGACCATAGAGAGACAAGGGAGGAAGCAGGAAGATCAGTAAAATATTGCTATAATCTAGGCAAGGCCTGGTGGTGGCTTGGACCAGGGTGGTAGCAATGGAGGTGGAGAGAAGTATCTGGATTCTGATAGACTGACAGTGTTTGCTCATGGGTTAGATGTGGATATAAGAGAATGAGAAGACGTGAGGATGAGTCTTAGGATTTTGGCCTGAGTAACTGGAAGGATAGAGTTTTCATTTATTAATTGAAGACTACAGGAGGAACAGATGTGAGGGAAAATTATCTGGATTTGGGGCATGCTAGTCTTCTGGACATGAGAGTCTGAAGTTCAGGGGAGAAGTCTGTGCTGGAGTTATCACCATATAGCTGGTATTTAAAGCCATAAGACTTGATGAGATCATAGGAATGGGTGTAGACAAAGAAAATCAGTTATGTAGGACTGAATGCCGGAACACTCACTTCTAACTTTAGAGGATGGAGATACGGGAAAACAAAGTGTTTCAAGGATGAGAACTGGCTGACAGTATCAAACGCTGCTAGAAATTCAAGTAAGATGAGGACCGAGAATTGACCATTTGATTTAGCAACTGGCAGTCAATGGGGAGCTTACTAAGAGCTATCTCACTGGCACAGTGAGGGCAAAAGCCTTCAGGAGAGGATGGGAGGAGAGGAAGTGGACATTCCATTTCTTTCAAGAAACTTAGCTATAAAGGGGAGTAAAAGAAAAGAAAGGGACTATAGCTGGAGGATGGGTGAGCTTAGGGTTCAAAGAGGGTTTTTTCCTGTTGTATTTTTAAGTTGGAAGCATATTTATATGTTAATAAGAATCCAGCAGAGAGGACCAAAGTAGAAATTGCAAGGAAGAGAGGAAAAGTTGTTGGAGTTAATATTTTTTAGTAGGCAAGAGAGGATATTATCAATGCAAATGATTTTAGGAACTTGGAGAATTCACCTGGAGGGAAAGCAGAGAACAGTGGCCCATATGCAGGTAGGAGAGTAGGCATCAGGGTGGGAGCTTGTGGGAGGTCCATTCTAACTGCTTCTGTCTTCTCAGTGAAAAAGGCAAAGCCATCAGCTGAGAGTGAGGACGAGCGGGGAGGTGCTGGGACATAGGTGGGGGTAGGAGGCACCACGGGGCACCGCAGGCCTCTTGAAGGTTTGTGGGTGTGAATTCAGAGCAGTCATTCTCAGCTGTGTGGGCATAAAGTAGACACATAGTTGGATTTAGCCAGGGTGGGAGTTTCTGTCAGGCAAGTACGACGTGAGGAGAAAGGGGCATTTTCAGAGTAAACAAAATCAACTTCTCTAAGAGGCAATCTGAACAAAACTACTGATTTTAAAAAATTATTTTCTTCATGGATTCACCCAGGGATGGATATCAGTGAATATCTTCTGAGTATGGGATTTACCCAGCATTAAGTCAGCATTTTTAATGCCAATAATAAATAGTTTAGTGTGCCTTCCAAAGGCCACTTGTAAAACAGACTTCAACTAGAAACCTTTTATTTTTAAAAATGAACATATTTCTTTCCCCTTATAGAATGTTTAACAGAAATCATCATCTAATTGATTGTTGCTTTATAATAAGTCAGGATACAGCAGAGTTCTTTTGCTAGATAAAAGTTTCCCTCTCTTTTTCTGACTGTCCCTCTTATCTACCAAGATGACCATATCCTCAACAAGAGGCTTTTACCTTACTTGAGAAGTTTGGGGGAAGAGGTTTGTTTAAAGTGTAGAAAATGTTGTCAAGATAATTTAGATACACATAAGTATTCATGCAGATTTTCAATTCTGCTGTTCAGTGGCCACTAAGGATTCCAATAATCTTCCAGCAAAATAAGCAACAAAAGCAACAAGCAATGATTTTTAAAAAGTCACTAAGAACAGAAATTCCAAGTACTGTTCTGGGAGATTAACAACAGAGCAATAGGGCTCATAAAGCAAAGACAGCACAAGGGCAGGAAGTCACTGGAGGTGCTCTGTGGCTGAAGGTAGCTCAGAGAAGTATGAAGATTCTAATTTTTCCAAAACCTTTGAGGTGGAATGACTATCTTTACACTCAGGGTTAAACTTACCTTTTAATGCAATTGTGTAAGGAAGTACAAGGTTATAAACTCACAGCCCCAAATGAAGAGGGCCTGAGAGAAGAGTGGCCAAGGGAAAAAAGGACTGAAATACACATATAAAATAAGACCCATCTTACTGGCACAATTATTTCTCTAGAACTAAAGAGTAGATCATTCCCAATACCATGAGGACTATGCCAAGGACAAGGGAGATATGTTGGCTAGGAAAAAAGAAATGGACGACTTTCCCTATACCTTTGGCATTTAATATGAATTGAGAACAGTAAAACTGAGTGTTGTTCCAACTCTTATGAATCAGTACCAGATTTTTGTAAGCACCCCAAACCACCTAGCCTGCAGTGTGTCACTATCAATCCGCTTATCTTTATCCTAACTAGAGCTCTCCGTTAGCTAATGGTATAATACGTTATAGAAACCATCTCATCTACCCTATTATGCTATGAAATCTGCTTTTGATAGCTTATATTAGTAATATAAGCCTACTTACTCTACTAAAACCACAACAGTTCTGCTAGGGATCATTCTCTCTTTTTTGGGTAGTATGGAGGGGTGTGAGGTAGGGTGGGTCATGAACACATTTAAGGGAACAAACAAAACACTTCCAGGCCAGGCACGGTAGCTCATGCCTATAGTGCTAGCACTCTGGGAGGCCGAGGTGGGAGGATCCATCACTTGAGGTCAGGAGTTTGAGACCAGCCTGAGCAAGAGTGAGACCGTCTCTACTAAAAATAGGAAAAAATTAGCCGGGCATGGTGGCACATGCCTGTAGTCCCAGCTACCTGGGAGGCTGAGGCAGGAGGATCGCTTGAGCCCAGAAGTTTGAGGTTGCTGTGAGTTAGGCTGATGCCATGGCACTCTAGTCCAGGTGACAGAGCAAGACTCTGTCTCAAAAAAAAAAAAAACCCAAACCAAAAAAACACCACTTCCAGTCTGTCTCCAGGAAGATTAAAATGCTGAGTTACCAGAAAATGTAACACTGTATCATCATCTGTTTAGACTACAAGGATTTGACATTCATGATGATTTAAAAAGAAATCAAAAAGATTATTTCTGAATATTAAAAGTAATGACTTCTTGGTAGAGCTTGACTTGGTTGGGGGCAGTCAATCCTGGAATATTTTGCCAGGCTTGGATGCGCAATGTCCTCCTCCACAGTTCTCTAATAAGCTGTGCTTGTTGGTTTGGTTTAAGGGTGCTTCCTCCTGGAGGAGAAAGAATCTATAAAAACAGAAATGTAAGGGTGTGTTTCAATAACTTTAATGAGGAAGTTCTTAATCAAATGATAGAGTTTCTAAGCGTTATCATGATTCAAATTTTTGTATTAAAAAAATGAGTAACACTGTGTTTTTACCAAAAATAGTTTGTCAAATGGAGTTGGAGTCATCTCATTTAAGTTCTGCCTCTTTTTTTGAATCAAATCTGGAGACTGCCATTATTTCCTTAAGAAATGCTGTGTTCAAAAGCATAGTAAGAAGGCACTGTTCTAAAAAAAAAAAAAATTAAGTTTAAAAGTAAAACCAAGTTCTAAATTATAAAAATACCTGGTAAACAGTCAGGCTTTGAGAAATAGTGCAGAGGGCCGGGTGTGGTGGCTCACTCCTATAATCCTAGCACTTTGAGAGGCCAAAGCAGGAGGATTGCTTGAGGTCAGGAGTTTGAGAAATAGTATAGATAGCACAAAAGTCTGAGATAATAATCACAGGACTAAGCAGCCAGCTGGTGTGGAATATCTTGGGATAGACTACCATTTCCTTCCAAGATCAAGATAGTCACCAAATGAGGCTCAAAGCGAAATACATTCCCAAAACCAACAATGCCAGACTGATCATTGGAACCTTCAGTAACTAGTCTCTTAAGAGATACTGAATTTTCTCTCAAGAATTCTCTGACTTTCCAGCTCATACCTCCGACATTTGCTTTGAGCATTCATGGGTATACTGTGAGGCAGGGGGGAAACCTACCCAATAATGCAAAAAATACATAATAGAAAAAGCAGTCAATTTCTGACTTATCTAGGCCCTTTCTTGTATGCTCTCCCTTCAGGACCCTCCTCACCTAACAGAAATTTCATGTTTGTAAAAATCTTCATCTATATCAAGTACTTTTTTTTTTTTGCCCTTTCATATTCCTTAATAGTCTTAATAAAAACCTGATAGGAGAAAACTAAAATTAAAATCCAAATTGAGAGGTTTTTTTTAATTTCCCCTCTTCCAATTTTACTAGTAAACAGATATATCAAAAAAAAAAGAAATGTCAAAAAAAATAGAAAATTGGTTTAGTCACTAGTAAAATTTATAGAAATCAAATGAATAAAAGAAGTGAAGATGACTGTCTACCAAAATATATACAATGCACTGGTTTTAGCAACAGTCTGGCATAGCTTCATATAGTATATATGAAGAATGTGGGTGTTGGAGTCAGCAGATCTGGGTTTGAACTCCCATTTCTTACAAGCTATAACCTCAAGTTACCTCTACTGTAAAACCAGGATCATACTACATACTATTCTAAGATAGTCAGAATTACATGAGAACATGTATAACGTGCCTAATAGAACCTGGCCCGTGGTAAGTATTGTAGAAATACTGGTTGCCCTTCCCCTTTTCTTATTGCCTGGTATTAATATATAAGGGCTAACACATCAGCTTAAGGTACATATATAGTATCTAGATCCCTAAGGCTGTTGAAAGATTCTACCTATCCCCACAGACCTCGGCCTCCATCAAAACCCATAAATATTGAAGAGAAAAAGTGATAGAAAAACATTCAACCAGATTTTCATATAACTCAGTGACAAGACAAAAATAAGGATCCATATCTTGACACAGAAAACTACCAAAGAAAGTGAGGCTGAAACCTAAAAGGCAGCAAGAGTCAAGGTACCCATCTGAAACAAGAATGTGTATGACATAAGCCTTCTAATATAATAAGCTAATATAAAATCACTGTATGTATTATGCTTTTTTCTTCCTCCAGAAAACTGATGATGATGAAATTGATTTTGATTATATCGTTCTGCTTCATGAATTCTCAACACAGGTAAAATGCAATTCATTGTATGTAGAATTTTTTTTACCAGAAGTTTTTGCAGATTATAGTATTTTATAACTTTTATTTTCTAGGAAATAATTCCTTGTCGTATTCACTTGGTCTGGTACCCTGGAAAACCACTTAAAGTGAAGTACCACTGTCAAGAGCTACAGACACCAGAAGAAGCCTCTGGAACTGAAGAAGGACGGGCTGTGGCACCGACAGAGCTTAATCATTTCTAAAAAGAAAAAGTGATCTGCTTATACTAAATTCTAAACAATATCACTGTACTAGACTAAATCATTATTTTAGTAAAACAGCTAAGGTATAGGCATTCTAATAACTTGGGAAAGCCTATGATGATAAGTAAATACTACAGAATTAAAAGATGCTGGGTTTTTTATTTGTTTTTCAATTAGTCTGCTTTAGATTTTAACTCTGGGAGCACATGCATACTGAACTCTGCTCAGTGCTAAACAGTCACCGGCAGTCTCCCCAAGGTTTCAGCCCTAAAATGTAAAATCCAGTCAATTAGCAGTGCTGCAACTGGATCAGTAAGTATTTAAAAAAAACGAAGCAAAAAATGATGGTCTCATCTCTGAATCTACATTACTCATATTTTAAACATATTGTGGTTATTTTATGTTGCTAAATTGCTTCTGCTAAGTATGTAAACAAAGATAATATATTCTCAATGAAAAGTAAATTGTAGGAAAAATATTAACTATTTAAAAAGGAATTTTGCTATATTTTATGATTTAAAGCAAGTATTCCTTTTTAAGTTGATATCTTTTAAATAAATGCTTACATTTCTAAATAATAAAATGTGTTAAACGTGTTTGTAGAGATTTGTATACATAGGAAAAATGTGTGGTGCTAAATTGGAATTAAATGAAGTTCTAATATTGCTTAATTCAAATTTTACAAGTAAAAGAGTGTATCTCACCAGATAAAGCTGTCCGCAAACATGCGTTAAAAGGGACACTGATGTAATTGAAAGTATATTAAATATTTACAATTTTCATTTATAAGGACAACTTGGACCCAGTGTTGGCCTAAGTAATTTATAAAAGCAAACACAATATGTACCATAATCAAATTTAGTGGAGTACCTCCTCAGGGCAGGAAGAACTGATCCAGGAAATGTTGCCATCATCTGCCTCTCAAAATTAGTATCATTTAATGGAACACTTGTATCATTGTCTAAAAACCTTTAGCCAGGTTCCATGACCAGTAATTGATTAAGAAGCATCAGCCTTAAAATATATAATAATATTACTTTTAAGTCTGTAGTGTTAGATAATTGGAAAAGTTTATGCTAAAGAGAAAAATTTTAAAGGCATGGACTCATACAAAATAAAAATAAGCAGCTCTAGTTATGTATTTTTCTATTTAAAACCCTACCCTTTGCATTTATCTTCCCAACATCCACTTGATATAAAGAGTTGTCTGCATTCTGAAGCAATGCAAATAATCATTTAAAGGAAACAACCTACAATGATTAAATCATGCCAGAATCGAGCAGTGGACTCCTCTAACTGAAGTTCCCTAAGTGATCTTCCAAAAAAGGGCCTAAGAGCATTATAACAGCATATTCAATGTCCTGTGATCTTTAATCGATCTTTTCATATCACATTAAGGACTAAAAAGGAGGCTTTACTTGGTGTTTCAGCTTTCTAGAGTCTTAGCTTGAAGTCTTCATCTTCATAAAGGCATTTTTAATTAGTGAGATTAGGTTCACAAATGTGACCTTAATTAAACCGGTAAGGATTCTAAAGTAATCCTTTAACAGATCTATTTCAGTGTAAGAGATTATGAAGGGGAATTCTATATATACAAAAAATTGTATACAAATACAATTACCTAATTTATAAATTTATAAAACCCATAAAAGTTACAGCAAATCAAAATTTCTCAATATCACAAGAACATCCTTTCTAGCACAAACTCTAAAATTGTTAACTTGGTTTTACTAACATCGATTTCACTTAACAACAGAAAAATTACTTCATGTACCTTAGCATAAAACAAAAAACTCTAAATTCCCTAAGCCTTCTTTTCATTAAGAGTCTAAGTTTTTCTGAATCACTGTGAGGCAATGACAATTATATACGGCATCATAATCATTTTCACAACCTCTTTAGAACTTTCAGAATTTTAAGACATACAAAATAATACCGGGGATTCTGTCTGTATTCTATTTTATTCTACTCAGTTTCATTTTTTTCCTACCTAAATTATGAATTGTTAGAAGTTAAACAAGTTCTTTTGAAAATCAGTTGGAAATGTCTATATTTGCACTTGAATTTTAGTCCTTCATGACATCTTAGTTTTTACACCAATCTCTCTTAGCTTAGAAAATTCTAATCTGCTCTGTGACTTTTCCTAACTTTCTAAGTACTACGGTCAGCTAACATGCTGCCTGGCATTATCTGAATGGATAAATAAGTTACAATTAACTTATTTCAATGATGCATTAACTTGTTATTCATTTGAAAGCAGCAATTATAGCTCCAATTCAACAATTTATGGTTGAATATATAGTTGCAATTAGCAATGCAAACAGCTATCTTCTACAAAGGGATACATTCCAACATGTTACAATTTACGTCTCCTAGGTGGCTGCCAATTTTAAGACTCATACAGAATATAAAAAATGCTAAACTTCAGACTTGATTAAATTTTAGTGAGTTTTATAAGCCACACAATCTAAGAGTGAGCAAAGAAGAAAAGAATAACAGAAAACAAAAAAATTGACTATTTTTTTTTAAGATAGTTACCAAGGCAGGCATGGTAGTTGCATGCACCTGTAGTCCCAGCTATTCCAGAGGCTGAGGCAGAAGGATTGCTTCAGCTTAGGAGCTCGAGACCAGCCAGAGCCCCATAACAAGACTCCATCTCTTAAAAAAAAAGGTAAAGTTATCAAATGAAGAACCAATAGCCCAAACTCTAATATCACACAAAAGAATATTAATAATATGACACATCTGAATTTCACAAATCTTTCATTTCATGTCTTGGGCCTAAGTACAGGCAATACTTCAGTGGTCTTTAACTTTGACTGCATATCAGAATCACCTGAAAAACTTACCTTGATCCATCCAAAGAATCTGAGTATCTGAGGATAGGCCTAGGTATTTCTTTCTAAAGCTCCCCAAGTGATTTTTAAAGTGCAGCAATGGTTGAACATCAGTGCAATACTACCTAGTGCTACTATTCTCCAACACAAGTATGGAATACTGTCTTTCTGTAAATTAGTCAACAATTATCCTTCACAATAGTATAAAAAAATCCTCATTTATAAATATTCTCATTAATTTTTTCCATGCTACAGATTTTGGTTGGTATGTAGTCTTTACCAACTGTAACTACACTAATGAGTTAGCAAGAGATGTGGGTTCTAGTCCTGGATTTGTCCATATGTGACCTTTTCTAGTTGGTCCCACCAGCTGGGCCACATCACTACCTATGAAATGCTGGTGTTTGATTGAATATCTAGGACCTTTTCTGATACTATAACTTTATAACCAGAATGTTTAACAAATTAAAAACAAGTCCAAATTCATCCAGCTTAGTTCCAGTATTTCTGATCATTCTTAATAGGCACAGGAATGATGCTAAATTCAATGAAGATACATAGAATGTATTTCCTCATTAGGAACAATATTCAAAGTTATTGTGAATGGCACAAGATGCTGATGAAATGTCACAACCACCACATTTTTCAGGCTTGATGCTGTTGTAGCAATAGACATTCATAGGGGAAATGCACTTGGTGAATAATTATAACTGAAAGTATCAATTTGAAAACTTAAGCTGTGGTGGTCGACCATCACAGCTTAAGTTTAATTTATCTTCTCTGTGCACCTTTGCTTCCTCTATTACAAAATGGGTATAATTATAGTATTTATTCTCACAGGGTTGTGAGAAACAATACACATTTAAAGGATTTGGCAAATGTCTTGAAAACATGTGCTTAATACTTTTAAAAAATCTTCTTCCCCCCAGAAACCTTAACTTATAAAGCCAAATCTATAAATCGAGAAGGCCAAAAAAAATTTATAGCAATTATTTTATTTCTATTATTCAGTAATGGAAAGGACTAAGATACATCTATGGCATAAAATGATTTTTGGATAAACCAATTCTGATAGAACTGTCAGGGAAAGCCCAAATCACTCTGGATATAAAAGCTTAACCTTTGTTCTTTCACGATCTCAATGAATATATGATAAATTCCAATAGACTAAAATTCGACCACCGTTTACTAGGTGACTGAAACTAACTGGGCCACAACTCTATAAATTATATTTTATTATTTAGGGTTGCAGAAAGATTAAGGTGAACACAAACAAGAATAGCATATGCAAGTGTCTATTTTTTACTTCACAAAGGACTGCAAGAAAGTAATATTTATACTCCTAAAACAGAGGCAGTTACAAATTTGCAAAAGCCACAAATTGAAGCAATCAGCCATATATAAAAGATGGAAATTTAGCTAATATTTTAATATCCTAATGAAGAATCTGAAAATTGCTATTAAGATCATATGGAATCCACTCTTAAACAACAAAGCCTGCCCATTAATCACTCTCCAAGAAGTGTCATGATATACACAATTCACTTTCAAGTCTTCAAACTAATAATTTGAAAAATTTTTTAAATATAGTTATGAGATATACACAATAGGCAAACAGGTAAAGTAAATATGACAAAACAAATTATATGATAAATTATTAACAAAGTTGTTCATTGCTGAATCTAAATGGAAGGTATATGGCTATTCTTGTATTGTTTTTTCAGCTTTTATGTATGTTGAAAAATCTCATAATAAATTTGAAAAGGAAGTTTATATACATTAGAAGTATAAATGAAATTAGTCTCTTCCCCCTTAAATAAATATTAAATATATTTCAGTAATAATCATAGTTTATTTGAGGTTCTTCAATGAACTATAAAACCAATCAATAGAGTTGAGCTATACATACAGAATTATCTTTGAATATAACAGAAGCTCCTGAATGTGAACAGGAAGGGCCTCTAAAATTTGTTTGCGCAGGCTGAATTTATTCTACTGGAATCCATCAAAGTTTCTAAACCTTGCAGATTCAGTTAAAGTTAGTCAACTCAAAGTGAGGAAAGTTAGTTCTTGGCTTTTCCTTTTTTTACAGGAAGTTGACCCGTAGCTTCCAAATACTTATTAATGAGATCTTCTTGTGTCGATGGTAAACATGGCTGATATCTGCAATACTCCATTGTGTATTCTCCCTTTCCCTAGGAGTTAAAAAAAAAAAGACTTTTGTTTTTGTAACTATCACGTCATGCAAAGTCAGGATTTCACAAATTTGATCGTTCTGTAAGTGGTCTTTTGAAGTGCCCTG